AATGCTTTTGTTGTTTGTTTGCATTTCATCATACTGTATCTTGTCTCATTCTCTCCCTTTTTGTGACCCATATAGCATAAAGCTAACCTTTTAGATCTGTGGATGGTTTGACATAAGAGGCAGCTTTGTTTGCTGTGCAAGTAAAATAATGTTCCAATTAAAAGGAACTCTCTTAGACTGTAATATGTTCCATTGCTGATGTTTTTTTTTTTTACTCTACTCACTTTGACCAGTACCTGAAGGATATGTCAAAGCCAAACAAGTTTGTTTCACTTACACATAACATTTATTGACAAGTCTTTCTAAATAACAGCCTACTGTCTGTTTTCCACAGAATTACATGATCCAAGCAGCAGATCTGGGCATGCTTTGTTGGGTTAGTGATTCATTTAGCCCACTGCTTTTGATTCTAGTTAGTCATGACACTTGGCTTTCATAGAAGCCTGTTGCCCAGAGTGCTTCTACTGAACACCCATAGTAGCATCAGGTAAAATAGATCTTCCAGGCTGGACCTAAAGTAGGAAAGCCTTGCACAGCACACAGTGATATTGTGTGTATTTAAGAGGCATTACCAATGTGAGAACATTCAATAACAATTGCTGTGTATGTATTTTAGCCCAGCCAACTCATCAAGAGATAAATTTAAATCTGTTTAAGATGATGACTGCACCACAGCCTGATATCAGTAACCAGATGACAAAAATATAAAGAAAGTGCAAGAGTGTTGCACAGAAATGTAACAATAAATAAAATAAATAGCAGAATTTACATTAATACTTCATAAAACATCATCACTGACTGGAATGGATGAGTTTGCACCATAAATGTAATAAATGATGCATCTGAGGAAAGCAGACAGATGGCATAATAGTATTGCACCTTTATCACAGCAGCTTATTATTTTAAATGAATAGGTTTACTGTAGCCTTTTTGTGTTCCTCTGCACATTTATCTGAGCTTGTGTGTGTGCCTGCCTGAGGGTGGTAGATACACACACAAGGGTCCGTTTTATGTTACAAAATATGCATAAGGGTATGGCCAGAAGTGTGCTGTTTTACACCTGCAAATTTATCCAAGAGTGACATCAGGGTATTGAGGTAGCCTGGATTATGCATTCACATCCCTGCAGCAATGTGAGAAGAAGTGACATCAGCAGAAACAAGATCTTTAAGCAGTGTTAAATTGCCCTTTTTATTTGGCTTTTTTCATCGCAATCTATTAAATTACTTTTTAAATGTAATTGTATGGTAAAAATTTATAAATGAATTCATTTTAATAGACATTCTTCTATTATAGTCCCATGGTATAAAAGCTGCATTCAGGTATAGAGGTTAAACTCGGGTGATATTCTCAACAAATTCCATGACCAACACAAAATGACCCTACTAACAAGTACTGTCTTTGTAGCCAAAACCTGCTGTAGATTAAAGCGCTGTACCACAGGCTTCCATTGTTGTCCACAAACTATTACATGAGCCTCTCTCCTGCACTTGCTGTGTTCTTCATCGCCATGAATACAGTCAGTGTAGTTTATTTTTAGTTGCTCACACATATGCTGTCAATACTCACTATAGCACCAGTTCTGCAGCTGAAAAATGTTCTTTACTTGTTTGAGTAGCATTTGCTAAGAACTACAATGACCAGGTGTTTTAAGAAATTACTTAGTTTTATAAAATTAAATCGGTTTCTGTGATTGGTTTAAAAGGTTTTTGTCTGCCGCAGGAAATGGGCATGGGATGGAGAGCTACACACAGGGTAGGGAAGTCAGAACGTATTGAAAGGGTTCTGTCCTTATTAAACCTGATGAAATTAGTTCCCAAGAATTGTGCTGTTTGACAAACCTTTCTCCTAAATATGTTTGCAGGAGTCTGCTCATAATTTCTTTCCTCTTACTATTCTGATTTAATATATTTTATACACAGTTTCACCTCGAGTTTATTTCCCCACATCCAAATTTCATAGGGCATTAATATTCAGCCAGTTCACAGTCATACACTGTGCCTTGTGCGCCAAACCTGAGGAAGTGAAAATGCTGACCCCACAGGGTTACTGTAGAATCAACAGGTGATTAGTGTGGTCATAATACAGTACTACTCAGGCTAAGCCTTATCAGATTTTTTTAGGTAGTAAATGTCTCAGTCCCTTTCTCTCCTTTGTATAGGCCAGCACAACTACCTGTGTGCAGGGAGGAATGACTGCATCATTGATAAGATCCGCAGGAAGAACTGTCCAGCCTGCCGCTTCAGGAAATGTCTTCAAGCTGGAATGAACTTGGAAGGTAAACTGTCTGACCCATCTTTAAATCAGGCCAGGCTCCATAACAACACAGTTGGAGAAATGAATGTAACTTTCATGGTGTATGCATGATATAAAATAAAACTTAATTTAACCAATATCAATTATAAAGCCCAAGGAAAAACTCTGTTGTATGGCAACAATCTGTCATTGGTTTTCAGTTTTCATTCATCAATACTGACGAGCATGCCATGCAGTCACGCTGTGACTTTAAAGTCACAGTGAAATGGCAGTTAGTGTACATTTAGCTTTTGTAAAGTGATGTTTCTGGGTGAAATGGTTTATACAGGGAATGAATTGTATCATTCAAAAGTTTAGCACCACTTAGCAAAATCTGAGCCAAACAGAACTGTAGAAGACCTCCACCCAGGAGGAAATAAGACCTTAAGCATACTGAAAGTGAATAAATGGCCTGTTCTTGTATAGTGACAAGACAGCTCTGTGGAAAATGTACAGTACATTATAAGTGAAGCCTTAAATGTGGGCATAGGTATTTCACAGTAATAGAGCAACAGTTCTGAAATAAACATTTTCTTTAAATGGACCTTGAAAATCTGAAAAAAAAGATTAATATGTACAAGTTCTTCTGAACATTTCATTCTAAACAAGAGTTTGAATAAGTACAGTGTAGCTGTTGTTAGTCACTTATCTGTGAGCTTGTGCATGTGCAGTTGTTTGTGTTCTCTTCTGTACATTCCGCTGGTATGCAGGCCAGTCAGAATGAGAGAGTGCACTCCTTCACACTCATTGATCAATGCATTATCCACTGTTAAGGCAACAGCCTTAAGTCCCCTGGTGATGTTTAACCTGATTCTGCTTCAGGGGTTAAATGTTAAGGATATATTGCAAGCAATTAATCCGGGTGGAGGTTAATGAAGATGGATATGAAAGCAACAGGTGAAGCAGAACACCTGCTTGAACTGCTTGGAATTTGGTTCTTGTGTCATGTTTTACCTAAAGCTGCCTTAATGCATGGAATTGTTGTCAGTAGACAGTACAAATCAGTGTTGAGTGAGATTCCAGGCTAACAGTGCAGAGGTGAAGGTAGTTCCACATACAGACAGGGAGAGAGAGAAAGACAGGGGGATTTGATGGACATCAGTGCATGAGCAGACAAACGCCCACCAGAAAGGCTCTTAGTTGCCATAGAAACACCAGGAGAGGAAATTAAAAAACGTAGAGAGTGGGGTAGAGCGTGTTTTTTTCATGGTAACCTCCCAACCCCTGACATGTTTTGCGCATTTTATGGAGGAAAATGTCACAGTGATGCCCAGATAATCTGCATATTGTGAGCAAAAACAAATCAGTTTGCCTTTGCTGTTTTTGCACTGCAACAAATTCAAATATGGGAAAAAAGTCTGACTAATGGATTTGGGGACTTTATGCTTTATTACTAGTCACGAATCAGCATGCTGCATTCTCCTGTTCTTTTAATGGATAATGGAATTCAAATCCAAGTTCAGGGCTGAGGTCTGAGATCAGGTGAATGCTGAAGTGAAATGGTTGTCTTTAGACCTGGAAATGTTTTTGATATCTTCATTTATTAGTAGATACATTGTAACATACATTCCCTGTACATTTGCTTCTAGAATAGTCTCACTCTAAAAGAAATGATTAAAACCAAATCCATTTATTTGAGTTGTGGAAAATGGAAAAGAAAAATACTGTATATTGTATTTATGGCCTTATGTTCTGAGTATTAACATGGAACCTCAAAGAGCGGCAGTGCCAACCAAAAAAATCAATTAAAATGCATAGTTTAAAACACACATTAAAAAAATTAAAAAGCATGTTTCCTTCCCTCCTTTTGTTTTACTCTGACTTACTGCACATCCCAGCAAGGAAAAACAAGAAGCTCAAGATGAAAATGCCCAGGTCACCTGGATCATCGGAGCCCGCCAGTCACATGCCTGTTGCAGTCATCCCCAGGTGCACGCCCCAACTCGTACCCACCATGCTGTCAGTACTCAAGGCCATCGAACCAGGGATAATCTACTCTGGCTATGACGGCACGATACCTGACACCTCCTCGCGGCTCATGTCCACTCTCAACAAGCTCGGGGGACAGCAGGTCATCTCTGCAGTCAAGTGGGCCAAGTCACTGCCAGGTACCAAAAAGCTGTGTGCTGCTTCTGTTTTGATTTCATGCATACCACTGAGAAAAGTGTGTCACTGGCAGAATTACCAGCTTGTAGTTGAGTCTAATGTTTAGCGATGCGGGTCAATGTACAGAACATACAGCAGCTTTCACTTTTGCCCTTCTGTTAACAGACCATCTACTTGACAGCACTGCTGCTGTAACTGTTTTAAGAAGTGCTGGGCAAATAATAAAGTTTTTTTTTTTCGATCATGATTTTGCCTTCCAGTGACTATAAAAGCAAAATATTTGAGATAAAACGATTATTGTGCTACATTGTGTTTCGCAGTTATACTCGGGTTTTATGTTATAAATCCAGCGCACATCTTCAGGGCCCTACAGTGTCTATTAAATATATAAATATTTAAAATGAAAGAAAACCCGCTGTTAAAAAAATCCAATAAATGCATGGTGTTTTTAAAGCCGATGAGTAATAATGTCAAACAGTCGTGATCTCAGCATTGACCAAAATAATCGTGATTATGATTTTTGCGATGATGATATGATAATGGCGCAGCCCTAGGTGCAAGTTTGTCTGCAAAATATACAGTAAGTGATGTTTCGAGTGAAGAAATAGAACTTTTGAGAATTCAAAACATCAGTTGTCCTAGTAGTAACGGGTGGTAAGACATCAGTCTAGTCAGAACAGTGACTTTGGTAGTGCTTTTCAGAAAGCATGTTGTAGATGATCAAGTTGACTGTTAGAAATAATGAGAAGCAAAGAAGGAGCCATTGTGTAGCTAAAGGTTTTCAATTGGCTGATTGAATCAAGATTATGTTACTGACACAGTGGAGCCCATTATGGAAGTCCTCCATGTCTTTTAACCTTAGACTGTACACACACACGCGCACACGCGCGCACACACAAATGCCAATCCCAAATGATTCCTATTGGCAGTAGAGCTAAAGAACAGCAGCTGTTCAGCAACCATGTAATAACATATGTGACCTTTGTAATGGCCAAATCC